GTTATCTTTATTACACAGCCCTAAATCAATCATTCATGGAAGCTAGGCTGATGTTGGTTTTGAGAGAGAAAACACACAGGGAAGTTTTTAAGAAAGAAAAAAAGTGTAGAGTACATTCCCATTTAAATTTATAATAAAAACATACTGGACTAGTTTTAATAATGTTTAAGATATAAAAACACTTTAAAAATGTAAACACATCTGATAGAAAAACATGATCATTATAGCTGTGAGTGTTGTCTAAGGAAACAGGTACATACACACTTCAAACCGGCACTGACACCTGAACCCATCGCTGCTCCTGTACCAGCTTCTCTTGAGCCAGCAGAAGCATTTGTGTGGGTACACGATGAATAAGACTCAACCCAAAGTACAAAGTCATAGGAGTAGGTGGGAAAGAAAGAGGAAAAGGAGCAGGTTTAAGATGGATCTGGTCAAGATTTAAAGCATAAAAGTATGACATAAGAACTACTCCAAGTTCTCAGAAAAATCCTCCCCCTAAGCTTCCAATAAAAGCATATCAGAAGTGACAGATCTTAAAAATTAAACAGCAAACTTTATAACATACACCGTTTCCTTTGATATCCAAATACACACCATGGAAGACACTGGTTTTTCTTCAAAAGCTGTCTTTAAAGCCCTTACAGCTATTCTAAAAATTTAATATTGACTAACAACAATCACTTTGAGACAACCCTCACTTAATTCCACTGACTGGGGATTAGGTTCACTGACACCTTTAGCTTCCTTAGCTGCAGAAATCGTGAGCAGGAAATTCAGCCAGGAAAAGCAACACGCTTTTTCAGCTTAAGAGGAGGAGATGATACTCAAGCCTGTAACACTGTTGGGCTTTGTCTTCCAATAGAGAACAGGCATTGTCTGATGTAATATTTAAGAAATAATTCATTTGGCAATAGGTGAAATACAGCAGTTGTTTTCTAATCTATTCATTTCTAGGATAGATTCACAAACAGCATCCAAATAAACTGCATTAAATCTGCAGAACTAGAAGCTTCAACCAAAGCATTAAAAGTTAAAAAGCTCTAAGTGATTAACAGTGACTTACTGCATTTAAAACCAACCATCTAGTGCTACCAAATTGTTTATTAGCCTAATAATCTAAAAATAATGCAAGCAAAGCACCTAGCTCAAGACAGAGTAATAAAGCAATTCCACTCAGACACAGTAGTGTAATTAAACATCTCTCAATATTGGTTTCCATAGTATGATTTGTAAAGATACAACCAAGTTTTGTGAATGAAGCCTAACTCTACTACGGATGTTTAAATGTACATCTAAGTGTCACTAAACGTTGTGTTTCAGAAATAATAATTGTTACTAATTCAATTCTAAGAGCTGCTCTACTCTATGCACCATTGCAATGCTGTATCTGGTAGGACAGTCCGTTGTTCGGTTAATGGTTTGTAGTGAGGCACTTTAAAGCTCAGTATTCTATTCAATAATGAGGTTTCAACAGTAATGACTACAATTTACAGTTATCTTATGAAACACGCTTTTAACACGTAGCTCTTCACCCGGCAGAAAAAACACTACATCAAGTGGCTAAAAAGCTATAAACACAGATTCACTTTTTTTTTTTTTTTTTAATGAGTAATTCACTACAGGAGTGTCAATCACACTCCACATCAGGAACGTTTATCTACTTGAGCTCTGCACCTTCAAGAGGTATTAACGAGACTGACCTGGTGTTGGGGCGCACAAAAGAGGAAAAAAAAAATCACTGAGCTAAGTTCTACGTATCAGGCTGGGCAACCCCAGCTTCATGATCTTAGTTACTAAGTTCGCAACTGGCCCAGAGGAGGCCACCGCCTGGCACTTCTCGGGAAAGTGAACCCTAAGAAACTGAGCAGAAAAAGCGCCCGCCTGTCACAGCTCTGCCGACCTTACCCGCCGCCGCGGGAGAAGCGGCACCAGCCCCGCTGCCCAGCGCGGCCGGAGGGGGAGCACCGGCACACCGCGGGGGCACCGGAGCTGCGGGACAAAGCCCACCCGGGCGGTGAG